GAATTCTAGTCTTTGCTCTACCAATAAATTGCTATGAGCCTTGGGCAAATCTCTTCATCTCTTTAGACCTCAGTTTCCTCATACCCAAAGGAGGCACTTGCACCTGTCTTGCTTATCCCATAGGTTGCTGTGAAGATCTAATAAAGAAGTGCATGGAAGAAATTTGAAACACGTTAAGCAATAAACAATTCTCATCCTGAATTTTTTGGAATTTATTTAGCCTAAGACATGAGTTTTACAAATAATTGCCTACTCCTTACATGTTAGTAAAAACCAAATGAACAATAACAATATTAAAAACACCTTAAGTTTTGACAATGAATTGAATCACCGAAGTGTGTAGGATTACACATTTCTGAAGGACTTTTGCATCATCTAATCAGATTTCCTTCAAACTAAAAGCAACTGTGGAAATCCCTACTTCACATCCAAACCTGGTCTAGAAACCATGATAAAATTGCTTTGATGATTCCTATAAAATTGTTTTGAGAGACAAATAGGAAATGTAAAAACTGCTCTGATAGGCATGCTATCTATATAGTTAGCACCTGCTTTCTTCCCCTCCCACGCCCCAACATCCTGTCCTGGGCCCAGATCTATGTAGCTTTTCACTACATCTGCCAAGTAGGTGGCTTCAATGCACGTGATGAACTTTGATCAGTCAAGTCAGAGACTTCGGTTCTTAGACAAGTAACCTTAGTTCCACTGAAGGAAAATTATCATGAGAGCCAAAATGGGCTCAAGGACTTCTGCACTGACAGTTTTATACAACTTGAGAGTGCCAGAGCTGCAGGGGCCCTGCAATCAGCTCAGCCAAGACCTGAGGGAGGGGATGCTAAAGGAACCACAAAGATGCAGACAATGTCAGGATTCGTTCACGTGACCAACTTGAAAAAACAGTTGTTGTCCAACCTCCTTGCCTCAACTTCTTGATCCCCAGTCTCCTACAGTCTGACTTCTGCCCACAATATTCCCCTGAAATTGATCCCACCATTATTAGCTCAAAAATAGTTTTGGCTGAATACTTCTTAGGGTTTATTTTTAGTGACCTTTCTATTACTCTGTTGACCTATTATCCTGTTGTCATCTTCCTGAATGCTCTCCCCGCTTGAATTCTATATCACTCCATTCTTAAGGGCTTCTGCCTCTCAAAATCCTTCTTCATGTTATCCTCTTTTCTCTTCATATTCCTTAAAACTTTGGTGTTCCTTCTCACTATTTCCTTTCTTTTTCCCTTCTCCTCTCCTCCCCTCCCTTCTTCTTCTCCATGGTTTCATTGGGTGATTCGTGGGTTTCGTGAACTTTCATGGGTTTCAATCTCACCTTCATTGTGATAAATCTCAAATCTATAACTGAAGTCCTGAACTTCAGAGTTGTAAGCACAGTTGCCTCTGAAAATCTCTACTTGGGTATCCCAAAGCCATCTCATATTTGGTATGCTCCAAACTTAATTTATCTCCCCACTCTAATTCCAATCCAGACCTGTTCTCCCTTAAGGTTCTCCATATCTCTGTGAATGGTCCCACCACTCACCTAATTGCCCAAGTCAGAGATCTGGGATCCACTCATGATTCTTCACTCTCTTGCCCCAGATTGCCCCACTCACAGTGGCTTCTTCCTCCGAAACCTTTGGTTGCCACCACTTCTCTCCATGGCCCCTGCCGTCATCTCCAGGCCCATATATCCTCTCTTTTGTAGATTACTGAATTGTACCATCCTAACTTATCTTGTTTCTCTTTCTGTCCCACCCCATCCATCTTTCACACTGACAGCAACTGACTCCAGAATGCCCTGCTCGTACCTCAGTTCTTGAAACCTTCTCTTTCTCCCATCCTTCTGCCTGGTCCTCTACCATAATGCCACAATTGGCTACCTTTCCAGCTTCCCAATTTAGGCTGTTGTTTTGATTTCTGATTCTGTATCAGAAGTCCTTTGTCTCAGAACCTCTCATGCCTGTTTCTCCCCAACAGGGAGTGGGCTCCATTTTAACATCTTCAGCTGCCTAACACATCCAGAAATGATTATCAAATTTAGTTTCCAAGAAATGTATACATGTATAGGAGTGCATGAAAGTGTCTATAGCCAAAATCAAATATTGGCCATCTTTTTCTAAGTTTATAGAAAGAATTAAGTTAGTGGATTTTAGTCTCATTTTCAGTTATTTTTACACAGAATTTTCTTAAATATCGGTCACCCTTTTCTACTACTATTTTTCTGCTAGCTAGTGATTGATCTGTAGCAAATATCAAGGGAAAAATAAGAAAAACAATGGATCATACTTCAACAGTTTGTTTTTGATGTGAATATGCTTGTGGTTGTGATTTTATATTGATAACCCAGAACACAGTCATAGTTTCTGCTTGGAAAATTATTTCCAGTACATATGAAAGAGTTAAATATATCAGTATTTTGTTTGTTGTACGAAGGGCCTTCTAAGGGTTCTTTTCCCTGAATATATCTGAAAAGCTCTAGACTAGAGGAAAGGGTCTCGATACTTAACAAGGCAGATGAATTGACCCCTGCCCACATTTCTCTCCTCATCATCTATGACTCATTCAGGTTCAATCCTAAGCATCAAGCATTTTAAGCTAGTTTTATTTCCTGAAATGTGCTGTGCTTATTAATGCTATTCCTGTGCCCAGGCTAATTCCCTCCTGTCTTATCTATTAATGTTTTTTGTTTGTTTGTTTGTTTGAGACAAAGTCTCACTCTGTCGCCCAGACTGGAGTGCAATAGAGCGATCTCGGCTCACTGCAACCTCTGTCTCCCAGGTTCAAACGATTCTCCTGCCTCAGCCTCCCAAGTAGCTGGGACTACAGGTGTGCACAACCGCGCCTGGATAATTTTTAAAAATTGTTTTTAGTAGAGGCGGGGTTTCACCATATTGGCTAGGCTGGTCTCAAACTCCTGACCTCATGATCTGCCAGCCTTGGTGTCCCAAAGTGCTGGGATTACAGGTGTGAACCACAGCGCCCGGCCATCTATTAATGTTTCAATGAAATATTCTGCTCCAGCTGACAAGGTGCTCTCTTCTGTACTTAGTATTTTTTGTTGTTGTTGTTGTTGAGACGGAGTCTTGCTTTGTCACCCAGGCTGGAGTGCAGTGTCATAATCTTGGCTCTCTGCAACCTCCACCTCCCGGGTTCAAGTGATTCTCCAGCCTCAACCTCTCGAGCAGCTGGGATTACAGGCGTGCACCACTCTGCCTGGCTAATATTTGCAAATTTAGTGGAGACAGGGTTTCACCAAGTTGGTCAGGCTGGTCTTGAACTCCTGACCTCAGGTGATCCACATGCCTTGGCCTCCCAAAGTGCTGGGATTACACAGGCATGAGCCACTGCGCCCCAACTCTTCTGTGCTTAATCTATCATAGCATTTGCCACATCATGTCATAATGGACTTGTCTGATTTTTCTTCCATTAACTATTAGAGGAAAAAGGTAATTAAAAAAAACCCAAAAAACCCAGAACCTTTGGTTCCTGACACATTGTAAGGAGTTGTGACACATTGTAAGGCGTCAGTAAATATTTGCCAAATTACTAAATATTATTTTATAGAGATAGAAGGGGAAGCTGTAAACCATTCTAACCTGGGAGAATAGTGTTTGGCTAGCTTTTCGAGCAGTATGTGTCAGAATATATTTACATTTTCTTCAATTCCCTTAATTCTATCTCTTTCCTCTGGGTCAGTTCCTTTTGTTTACTTTTCCTTTTCATTATGTTGCTAGTTTTTCTCAAATGCTTGGTGCTTTATTTATTTATGAATGAAAACCTGTGTTGGTTATTATGGGTAGATGGCATGAGTTTCCTCTGCAATTGTGTTGATCTATCTGTTTCCCCCACAAACCTCTCTCCGGAATGGGAGGGCTGACTGTGGGTTCTGTTTAAGTGGGTAGGAAATGTCAACAGTCAGGCTTCCCTTTAGGTTATGTGGGTGGAGAGGCAGGAAGACCAGGGACCCCCACAACTGATGAAGTAAGGAGGGCTTTTCTCTGGGGGCGGAGCCTTGTAGAAGGTTTCACTCTTGACTAATACTGGTTTTCCTTTTGGTTTTGTCCTATCTGTTGTGGAGGTCTCAGCATCCTTCCTAGAGCCCTCTCTAGGCAACTTTAGCCTGAGGGCCAACGCCAAATGCCGCTCCTAACAAATGGTCCACTGGGGGAAGGGAGACAGAGGGAGAGGGCCACCTGTCCCAGCTGTTTCCACTGCAGCTCTTCAATGACTGCCTCATAGCCCACCCCTGCTCCTCACATTCATTGACTCTGTGATTAATGCTTCTTTGGGAGAGCATACTCTTACAACTTATTGAATTGCAGTGTTTACTGCTCTGATCTCTCTGTTAGTCCAAATTCATGGCCTTTCTTGCTTGTCAAAATTTATGTCACGTTGATGTCACTTTTTGTATTTCCTATGGTTGTTGTGGTTTCTTCCTTTTTATATTTATTTTTGACTAAATAATACATTCACATGGTCTAAAATGTAAATGCAAGAGTATGAAAGCGTATGTAATGCAGTCTTTTTCCCCATCTCTTCCTTTCAGTCTTCCATTGTTAACCAGTGTTGTCAGTTTCTTATGTATCTTCCTGGGATGCTTTTATGCACCTTCAAGCAAATACATAGATATTTCCTTTCAGCCTTTTAACACACAGCAGTATATAACACATTGTTCTACATCTTAACAATGTATCTTGGAGATTGTTCTAGGTCAGCAAAACACTTCTTTATTCTCTTTTTTTTTTTTTTTTACAACTTCATAGTATCCCATTACATGAATGATGATGTACTACACATTTTTTAACTAGTCCCCTATTGATGAACATTTAGGTTGTTTCCAATCATATGATATTTTTAAATGCTGTAACAAATAACCTTGTACTTACTCATTTTTAAAAGCTTTTTTTTTCCAGACATTTTCATGGGCTCTGGAAAGGCTAAAATTTACATATATTTTAACACTGACCAATCAACTTTTATCCTAAACACATTACACTTGAAGAAAGATGATGTATGGGCTATTGTTTATTTTCCATTAGTGAGATTGATGCACAGTAAATTTGTGTTATACACCCTCTTCAAAGCCAGACATCATATTTTAAAGTGTCCAATGCAAAGTCCTATCTAACATTAAGGATTTTAGCTGCACCATGTGTGTTTCTTCATGTGGATCTGTGGCAGAAAGCTGAAGATGATGTGATCTCTGGTACCTCCATTTGGAATACTGCATTTGTTGGCTAGATTGGAAAGAAGCAACTTCAAGAGACACTTCTTTGAATCAGTTCATTTGTTCACATCAACATTCACTGAGTGCCTACTGTAAGCCAGATGCTGAGCTGGACCCTGGGGATACAAAGAAAAAGATGACAGTCCCTGCTTTGCCAGGAGCTTCCAGTTCAGAGAAGCTGAACAATACATGAGCAGACAGACAACCATAAATGGTGTGAAATGCACCACTGTCGAAGTGAACACAGAATGCTGTGGGAACAAGAAGGAGGAGTACCTATACACCCAGGGGTGGGGCAGGGTAGGGTGGGATAGAATGTATATCTGCGAAGCCTCTCTAGAAGCAAAGACACCTGTCATAACTTTGCATCCTGTCTTGCAGCACTCCACTGACAAATCTCAACATTCAGTGTCTATCTGCTGTCCTTGGCCTTTCTAGTCTGGAATCTTCCATCCTTTTCCATTCTGCAGAAGTCTTCTAGTTGGTTATGTTTATTCTGGCACTCCAATGGCTCAGGAAGAGTAACATAGGAGGGGTGTGGGGATAATCATCTCCAGCATAGATGAGTGTGGTTGGGAATGGGGATGGTGGGTGTGTTGATCTGGTTTCTGGTATTAGTTTTGATAGTGTGACCAGAATCCTCAGTCTCTCTTTCTAACAGATGCCTACTTCCATCCCAGGTTCCCAAGGTGAGCTCTCTTGCTACATGTCGACTCCAGAGTTGTATCCTAGAGGCAGGATTCTGTCCCCTCACCACTGCCACACACTCCCCATCCCAAACACAGCAGGAGAATCATGCTTTGAAGGGAATTCTAGAAGAAATTTCTAGTCATAAGTGGGCTCTTGCATGCTGTTGTAACCCTTGTATGACTCTAACACCTATTGCTGTGAGTTTAGCCAAACAAACAAACAACGACAAAAAACAACAAATCCATAAGTTCCCCACCCCGTCTCTCTATATAATTCCAAAAGGTTCTCCCATTGATGTTTCCTATGGCAAGACTGTCTGAGGGGCCTTGTGGCTAACATTGAGTAGTCAATATCCTTACAGTAAGTATTTTCCCAGCATTTGGCAAGCACTAGGCTCTCTGATAGGTCTGGGAATCCAAAATGAAAAAGACAGAGCTGCTAGTTAAGGGGATACAAAAGCCAGAGTGGACTACAGTGCACTGGGTAAGCACCCACAGTAGAGAATTGCAGGGGTTTTGGGAGCATGCAGAAGGAGTGAAGGTGAAGAGGTGACAGACTCAGGGAAGACTTCTTGGAAGAGGAATCCCTGAGGGAATTTTCTGGGTCAGGAAAGAATACATTCCAGGTACAGGAAATAGCATGTGGAAGAACCCACAGGCTGTAACTCATGGGCTCATTCTTCTCTTAGGGTTGCAGGCTTAGGATCAAAGCCTTCCTCTTGTCTCTGTACAGCACCTCAGGTTCTCCAGTCAACCCTTAATGTGGAACATGAAATATCAGGTTTTTAAAGAACAAAAAAATTCCCTTTCTTCCACAGTGAAGAGTCTCAGGGATGGTGTGCTCTGCAGGTGGGTACACAGTTGGCACTTGTTTTCCTTCAAATATCAGCCTGACATGATTGAACATTTAAGACTTGTCTGTGTGGTTCTAGTCCATTTTTTAAACCTCCCTTGCTTTAGTCTCAGCCTGCCTTTTTTTTTTTTTTTTTTTTTTTTTTTTTTTTTTTGAGACAGAGTCTTGCTGTGTCGCCCAGGCTAGAGTGCAATGGCACATTCTCGGCTCACTGCAATCTCCGTCTCCTGGGTTCAAGTGATTCTCCTGTCTCAGCCTCCTGAGTAGCTGGGATTATAGGTATGCACCACCACGCCTGGCTCATTTTTATACTTTTAGTAGAGACAGGGTTTCACCATGCTGGCCAGACTGGTCTGGAACTTCTGGCCTCAAATGATCTGCCCACCTTGGTCTCCCAAACTGTTGGGATTACAGGCGTGAGTCACCATGCCTGGCCTCAGCCTACTTTCTGAATCTCCCCTAGAGCACCAGAACTTTAGTAGGCTAGCCCCTGGCTCCACTGCCCAGAAACCCCTCTCCACAGCCTTTCCCTGCCTACCCTGCAATTTACCTCTACCATGATCCTTCTTCTTGACTTAACTCGTTCAGGGCTCTCTCCTCTCTTTTCAACTTCTAACTGCTGCCCTCTTTAGTTCGGACCCCAGGCTTGAGCAGTCTCTGTCTCTCTGATTCTTCCTGAGGTCTGCTCCTGGCAATCCCTTGGGGGCTGTTTGTGAAATGCACCCTCTGCTTCTAACTCATCTCCTAGGTATCCTCACAGGAGACTGCCTTCTTAGTGGGGGCCTGACTCAGAAGACCTCTAGTTCTCCCACAGTGTATTCTGGGGCCAGGTCCGCTGTTTCTCACCGAGGCTTGGAGAAAGGCAATGACTTACCATGGTCATGCAGCATGTTAGCGGCAGAGCTGAGACTACCCCAGGCCTCCTGACTTCCAGCCCAGTAGTCTTTTCCAGGAATCAAGCTGCCTCTCGGAAGACTCAGGTCTTCTAGCCAGCATCAGCTCCTACCCACTGACTGCACTGTGCACCCATCTCTGTTAGCACTTCCTTCCTGAGCCACTCTATTAAAACTGAAGCTGGCCCGTCCAGGCTTCTGACTCAGCAGCCCCGCAAAGAACATCCAGCCATGTCTGCATCTGATTAAGGAAACGCTAGGGGCAGGAAATTTTTTTTTTTTTTTTTTCCTGACTGAGTCGAGGAGTGCAAAAAGAGGTGGAGAGATTCAGTAAAATAGTTAAGATTTGAGAAGAAGGTAATCTCTCAGCACAAGATGTACCACAGGGACCACAGGGGTGGAAGAGAAGCGGAAGGCCTTTATCAAAAGATTTAGAATTACCAGTTAAATACATTTTGGTACAGAAGGATATTTACTGGCTTAGAAGGACCCCTGTGATACACTGATAGCACAAATATCATGGCGGAAATAGGATGTTCTCAGTTTTTTGTTTTGTTTTGTTTTGTTTTTGATGGAGTTGCACTCTTGTTGCCCAGGCTGGAGTGCAATGGCGCGATCTCGGCTCACTGCAACCTCCACCTCCCAGATTCAAGTGATTCTTCGGCCTCAGCCTCCCGAGTAGCTGGGATTACAGGCACCTGCCACCATGCCTGGCTAATTTTTGTACTTTTAGTAGATACGGGGTTTCGCCATGTTGGGCAGGTTGGTCTTGAACTCCTAACCTCAGGCGGTCCACCTGCCTCGGCCTCTCAAAGTGTTGGGATTACAGGCGTGAGCCACTGCAACCGGCCCAGTTCCAGTTTTGTAAAAATAGGTTGAGTGTGTCCCCAAAGTGCTTATGAGTAGCAGCTAAAAGTTCCCCTCCATGCTCTGCACCCATGTTAATTTTTGCCCACAGGTAGATAATTGGAAAACAATTACCACAACCTTTAATAGCTATTGTGGCAAGGGTGTTCCCTTGTGAATAAGTGGAGTTGGGAATCTTTCTTCATCACAATGCCCCACGGTGAGCTGCACCATCTTGGTAAGCGTGGACCTGCGACAGTTTCCACTAGATCTCTTCCACATAGAACTCAATAGCCCCTGTCTTTGACATCAAGATGTTTTCTGACTGTGAGAAGGACATCCTGGTACTCCTTGCCACAGGTGACTGATGCCTGGAGCCCTGTCTCTCCCCTGACATCGGAGAACCAACCACATCTGAAGCAGTTTCAAATAAGCAGTGAGGTTGTTATCTGTTCTGGGTTGAACAGTGTTCCCCTTCCCAAATTCATGTCCATGTGGAACCTGTGAATGTGACTTTTTTGCAGGGGAAATACTTTGCAAATGTAATAGGGAAATTAATATAAGGTCATACTGAATTAGGGTGGACCCTAATTCAATGACTAGTGATCTTATAAGAAGAGGGAAATTTGAACACAGACAAATACAGAGGGAAAACAGTCACACAAAGACAGAGGCAGGGATTGGAGAGATGTGTCTACAAGCCACAGAACATCAAGGATTGCTGGCAACCATCAGAAGCTAGGAAGAAACAAGGAAAGACCCTCCCCTAGATCCTTTAGAGAGAGCATGGCCCTGTCAACACCTTCAAGTTCAGACTTCTGGCCTCCAAGACTGTAAAAGAATACATTTCTGTAGTTTTAAGCTCCCCAGTTTGTAGTAATTTGTTATGGCAGCTCTTGGAAACTAATACAACACTTTTGTAGAAGAAACCAATTCCATCTCTTGAAATGCTGCTCCAGTCATGACCTGAGCAGAAAGGTGCTCATCAGCACAGGACACACAACCAAGTGGAGGAACCGCATAGCTTTGATTATGCTCTACACTCATCTATGTGTGCATACAGAAACAAGTCTGCAAGGTACCACAAGACTTGTGTCTGGGTGATAGGTTCTGGGGTATCTTTACCTTTTTGCTTTAACTTGTCTATATTTTTGAAGTTTCCCACAACGAATATGGGCTACTTGTATAAAAAACATGTATTTATAGCTATATCTACCCATCATCCATCTATCTATCTATCTATCTATCTATCTATCTATCTATCTATCTACCTACCTACCTGTCTGTCTGTCTATCTATCTATCTATCTATCTATCTATCTATCTATCTATCTTTAAATGTGATAAAAGCAAACTCTTCTGGAGAAGTATCTTCTGCCATTAGGAACATTTTTGTTCAGGCCAGGCTGTTGTGCTCTGCAGAAGGCAAGCAGGGCTGCTGAAGGGGTCCTGCTCTCTTTCCAATCTCTGTCCTTCCACAACTTGGCCCCCAGCCCCAGGTAAGAGTTAGCTAGTTCCTAGAGCTGGACTCTCACATCATCTACAAGGAGGCTTCTACGTAGGGTGGTTCAAGGCGGGACTGGAAAAGGCTCTTTGTCCAAAAATAGTGACACTCGGCAAAAAGATCCAGGGACAAGGGAAGGGCAGGCCAAATGATTTGGGACCGGGACAAGGAACAGGACACAGCAAAAAATATTCAGGGACAAGGTGGTGGAAAGGTGCATGGACAGTTTAGGAATAGAACAAGAGGAGTACAGAAAGTGTCCAAAAACAAGTCAGGAAGGAAAATCTTGGTGAAACAAATGGGAAAAAGGAAGGTGGGAGTAGTGTAGGCAGAAAAGTCTTGTCCTCCCCACCCAACCACCGCCCTGCCCCAGACCAACCCTCCTTCACACACTTTCTCCTCAGGATAACCTCCCACTTCCCCCACACAGGTGGCATCTTCCCACCTGGAGGCTGTGTCCAGGTCTTCTAAAGGACAAGCTTTGTACAGAGGGGCAGGCTCCCTCCCCAAGTGTCCTTTTTAAGTGCAAATCCTCCTGGGAAAGCTGTCAGGGAGTAAATTTCCAGGAAGCCCTAAAGCTGCCCCTTCCTCTGCCTGGGAGGGTGGGGATGGGGCTACTCTCAGTGCTGGCAAGGACTGAGTTGGGAGAAGCTGGGGAATTTGAGAAGCGGAGGGAGTTCAGGGGGCCTCCGAGGGCTGGGGTTAGGGGGTAGAACTCTGGGGACTTTGAGGGTTTCACAGTCCTTCTCTCCCCTGGCCCTCTTCCACACACCCCAGGATAGGAAGAGGAAGCTTAAGGAGGATTAAGGGCCAACTAATTATAGGTAAGAAAGTTACCTTAAGAAACCAAACTCACAGCACTATCTCAAGGGCCATGTCTGGCTAATTTACTAGACAAGGGGAGCGGTGTGGTTTTGATAGCAGGAGAGCACACATTTCTGAGTCCAGGTAGACCCACAGGTATTTGGGGAAAGGAAGTCTCCTGGGGACTTTGAGCTATACTGGAGGGGAGTCACAAGGGTGTTTTTCTTCTCTTCCAACATTGCCTACCGCTGTCCCCAGCTTTCGATGGGTTTGCAGCACTAGTAATCACTAGGTACAAAATGCCAATCCGGGATTTTACTCATGTGGCTGAACTCGAGAATTAACGCATTTCGTCACTTTTCAATGCTCCTATTTCCATCCTTCTTAACGAAAACTTATCTCAAAATCCTCTTCCACCTGGGAGCACAATGCTTATTTGCAGTTTAGGACACATAAGGATTTTCTGTCACTGGGATGAGATTTGGGAATATCCTTCACAGAGTGAGTGAACTGTAAAAAATACTGCGTTTTCAGAGTTAGCTCCTCTGAAACCGGAAATGTGAACAGAGCTGACTTAGTGCTAATACTTTCTCTTACTCCTGTAAGAAAGAGGAAAGACTGTGCTAGAGTTAGCAGTGATGTGCGAAAACCACAGTAGAGGTTTTGTGAAGAAGAGCATTTGTGGCTTTTGCACAAGTTATTCCTAAACCAAGGCTGGGGACGGCATATGACACTTTTCAAAGTAGCTTCTTGATTGGTATTTCACTGAAATAAAGATCTTTCAGCAAGACCGGAAAGCCAAAAATCTACGTTTCATGACCTCTACAGGAAAGTAATAGTTGCATTGTGGAACATTCTAGAATGGCAGGCTCAAACCATGGCCCGGAAGAACTGTAGGCTTTTTGGGGTGGGAGGGGGTTGAGACAGGGAAAATCTAATTCCCAATAAAGGTTTCTGATCGGTTTCCACTCACTCTCCCCACCCCCTCACCTAGTTCTGTGGCTCTTCTCCAGCCACCTCCTCTAGCACAGAGGCTCCTATTAAATAGCTGGGAAAGAGAAGGTAGAAGAAACAGAGAAGAAAAATTAATGCTAATCTCAGGAAGTCCATAACACTTTTAACTCAAATGTTGCTTGCATATGCAAATAATTTGCATCAGGTACCCAATTATACTGTGAGTGTTCCAAAGTATGTCATGCACCTAGATGTGGCCCTGGAAAAAGTCACTGTTGTTTTGTAATTAACCCAGACTTGTATAAGAAGAAAAGAGGGATTTACCAGGTAAACATATGTTTATCACTATTAATAAAAGTGAATGAGAAGAGGAAAGAAACAGCCTAATGGAGTAAAATGAATATCTTTGCCTCTTTGGGCTGATTTAAGTCCCTATGGAATAAACTAGTATTTTTAATGTCCAGAGAAAACTGTGGGTTTTTTTTTGTTTTTTTGTTTTTTTTTTTTTTTTTTTTTTTTTTTTTTGTAAGACAGAGTCTCACTCTGTCGCCCAGGCTGGAGTGCTGTGGCATGATCTCGGCTCACTGCAACCTCCACCTCCTGGATTCAAGCAATTATCTTGCCTCAGCCTCCTGAGTAGCTGGGATTACAGACCACACCACCACACCTGGCCAATTTTTGTATTTTTAGTAGAGACAGGGTTTTGCCATTTTGGCCAGGCTGGTCTCGAACTCCTGACCTCAGGTGATCCACCCAGCTCAGCCTCCCAAAGTGCTGGGATTACAGGCGTGAGCCACAGTGCCTGGCCCAAACAAGGAGTGTTTTTAAATAGCCAATTCTCCTAAATAACATCAGGTTGAGGCAGTTTCATTCATGAATTCTTTCAAACTTTCAAGGAACAAGTAATTTTGATACTTTTTCAAATGTTCTAGAACAGAGAAAAACAAAAAAAATTCTCATTAAAAAAATCAAATCCAGCGTATCAAAATCTGACAAAGAGCATAAAAATTAAGCTGCCTGCAGTCTTACACATAAATATTTATTGAAAATACGCCAAGTAAAATATTAGTAAATGGAGTCTAGCAGTATGTGAACAGAGTCATACCTTCACCAAGGGGGACCCATTCAAGTAATAAGAGGATAGTTTAATGTTAGAAAATTCATTAATCTAATTC